TTTTTTTTTTTTTTTTTTTTTGCCGCGGTTGACATTGTTTTGGCCGCGTTCCATAGCGACTTAATTCGGTACTCCTCTCGACCAATCAGAGTCGAGTAATTTTGTTGAGTGTACTATAAGGTATATAACAAGCTGTAGCCCAGTTAGAGCTCGATTGTGTAGTAGCAGGGCTAAAGATATTCATCCGCCAATGCGGCGGCTTCGCACTTGACTAGAACATTATATAATTGTCCGAAGGTTAGAGTTTGTTTCTTACGCTCTTCTTCTAATAAGACCTCGACTGGGTTCATCTGTCCTTCATAGTACTCCGAAGTGTTTGATTTTCCGAACTCCCATAGCAATTTTTTTAGTATGGCTCGGCCTAAAGGGGGGAAAAGTGAACGAAAGATGTAATTAGAGTGCATACCATATATCCGTGAAAAACTAACAAAATTGTACAAAATTGAATAGTGCAAAGTTCTGTGGGGCTGTTGAGCTAGTTTACTAATTTGTGCAAATTTGTGCAAGTTTCTTACAACACGGTTTTCGCGTATATATGGTGTGCACTTTACCTAGCAAACATACAAAAATCAAGAATCTCTATTTCCCCTCCAGAACCAATTTCTCCACAGGTAGCCCAAGCTTGGTTTCTGTGGTGTAATGTTATAAGGAAATGTATGGGGATTCATCAAAAATTTCAATAAAATCATTAAAACGTTAAATAAAGCCTCGAAAGTTTGCCCGATCATTGAGAAATAACACTTCTTTCGCTCTGTGTGGTTATTTTTYGAATTTAGCCCGTTTTAAGATTTTTTCCCCAACCAGTTACTGGTAGAGGTTTTTTCAGAAGACTCATAGGTAGAGCCGGTTACATCGAAAAAAAGAACTTTTCATTAGATTTCAAAACGAGTCATGGAGTTTTTAAGAAAGTTCGGCTAGTTTTGTCATCCAAATAAGCCGTTCTGAATAAAAAGTAAATTGATCGTCGGACATCAAAAACAGCCGAAGCAATGTTCTCGTATGTTAACTGCAAAGGTACTAATCTACTCAATATATAGATGTCGCTCGAGACTACTAATAAAAGATAATAAAATAATCAGTAATTTACAGACTTGAATGAAGTCCAATGAAATAGTATTTCTAAACGAATTTCTATAAAATATTCGCTGAGTTCACAGTGTAAAAAAGTGTTTCATGTGAAAACTTCGGGCAACGAGTCGATTGTAAGCGACGTGACCAATGAACAAGATAAAGAGTAACGCATAACGCAACGTTTTTTGTTACCCAAAAAGGGTCATACGAATGATTCCTGAAATGTACTCGGCCCGACTTTAACAAAATTCAGAATTTGTTTTTGAAGACTTAACAAATAGATGTCAGTCGAAGTCGAGGTCGTCTTTCGTAATTGAAGTAACTGCAGACAATCAATTCATCACATAATTCGCTTCCAAACTCAACAAAATAACAAAGAACTAAACAAAGGTGTTAAAAGGAAGATAAAAGGACGACTAATCATCTTATCAGCTCAATTGAGCATTTAAAATATGAAATCGAGCGAAATACTTTGAAACCTTCGAATGTCAACAAGCATCAGGACACAGGGAGAATAATCTTTGGAAAGTGCAACTAGTATCCACGAGTTCGCCAAAGGGCGGTTTGACCTTTTAACTCAGGGCCGTAACCAGAACTTTTACAGGGAGGGTGCACATCGAATAAAATTGGACCATTGATCGTTTTTTTAAGAAAGCAGAACCCCCCCCAAAAAAGGTAACCAAAGGAAAGCAGAACCAAAAAAAAACAAATAAAAATAAATAAAAAAGGTAACCAAAAGAAAGCAGAAATAATAAAAGATTTTAAAAAATTAAAAATAATAAAAAAAGGTAACCAAAAGAAAGCAGAACCAAAAAAAAAAAAAAAAAAAAAAAAAACGGAGATGGATGAGCGGACCTTAAACGTTTATGGGGGGGTGCACGTGCACCCTGTGCTCCCCTCCTAGTTACGGCCCTGTAACTAGTGAATTCTGATTCTCTTTTTCGTCGTGGGTGAATTCAAACGACTGTAAGAATATCGCTCTTCTTACCGCATGCTCGAGTTAGATTCTGCTTCTTCTCGGCATCCAACTGCTCATAAGATTTATTCTCCTCCTCTAATGGTCCTATTGCATTATAGGCAATTTTATTTCAGAAACATATAAAAATGAAAGATATGAAGAAGAAAAAAGGACAGAATAGGATTGAAATTAAATGAAATGAGACGAGACGAGAAGAGAAGGGAAGGGAAGGGAAGGGAAGGGAAGAGAAGCCCCTGCCCGAAACGAAAAAAGAGGGGAAGGAAGGAACACAGAAAAACATCATATAACAAAATTATACCTTAACATACACACTTAACATATAAACATTATACCTGTTGTTCCACTTGGTACATGTTTTCTCAGCTCCTCGATAGAGCTCTTTCGATGCACCCCTTTCAATTTCTGGCATATGTCTCTACAGCTCTTTACCATCTCAGGTGGGGCGTTTTTCATCGATGTTTTATATGGCTTTAGGTCTTCAAGTAATTTCTTGAATTGAGCAATTGTTAGAGGAGTGCTTTCCGGCAATGAAACCTCATGACTTTGGACAGGATAGGGGACGATCTCGGAACCTAATTCGATGAAATTGGAATGTTCGATGAGGAATTAGCTAGCAGATAACCCTATCTCTACTCTATCCTTCTGTGTGTATCCTTGATTTTACCAACCTTTAGATGTGGACGGCAGGCCATCTAGAGCCAAAAGCTGGATTGTTTCTGTTACAACGTTTGCTGTATTCGAATTCTACGAGGGAAAAAATCATTTTTTTTTTCTTTTCAGGTTTTCAATGTGATTTGAGAATGACTGTTTTCTTTGTTTGAGTTGTATCCATACAGTATCCATATCTCTTCTCAAACAAAACCGATAAACAAATAAATGATACTCTAGGGAGTGATACGTACAGTCTTAAACGGGAATTAAAACTTTACACCAAAGCTAAATAGGTCTACTATCAGGGGCGGATCCAGGGATGGCAAAACGGGTGACTAGTCACCCGCCTTTTGCTCAAATTTCTCAGTATTTCGTTACTTACGTCACCCCCCTTTTTCTCGAGTTCCTGGTAAAACCTTTGTAATAGGCACTCCCCCCCCCCCTTCTAAAATTCCTGGATATCCCCCCTGACTATTTATTTTAAAGAGCTAAGTACACCAGTTACCGTAACATTTTCCCGATCGTCCTGCCTAGAAATATCAAACCAATCGCAGTAGATCTCCTCCTTGAAGAAAGTGCTCTTACTAGTCGCGTTTCTATAGCATCGAGGTTGTTTCTTGCGTAACTCATCTTCGGTGATAAAATGGAGGCATGCGTCACGAGTACATCCGCTGACATTATGACATTTGCACGTTTCTGTTGATGGATAACACTTTGGGCAGCGGATACAAAATTCGTGTTCGGCATTTTTCATCCAGGGAAAGTTTAAACGCATGGTCGCCAGTGCTTTGCTGAGGAATTCAACAATGAAGCGACATAACTGTTTTAGAGGGAGCCCCACAATTCCTTGCTCGTTAATGACGCTGAAGCTGATCGTTTTTATGTCTGAGGTGACCACCAAGTCGAAACTCTTCCCAGTGTCTCCAACATCGCCAACATCATAAAACCTGTAAAAATAATTTCGGTAAAATATGTTCGATAAAATCTGTTTCGTTGTCAACATCGCCAACATCATAAAACCTGTAAAAATAATTTCGTTAAAATATGTTTGATAAAATCCGTTTCGATGTCAAAATTTTAGATCGCCAGAGGGCTAAATTACACAGGGTCAATTCATAATTCCGTCTCAGCGATTTTGTTTAGGAGTTCGGAGACAGCAAGGGTGCATGACTAAGGAGAATCGGTAACATAAAATTACAATTTCTCTAGTGCTTCGAGGGATAATCCCTAACTGTTTACCGATCTTTTTTTTTTTTTTTACCCAGAGATATATGCAGAGTTATTTTCTTTGCGAACTACCAATTTCCGCAGTTAACTTTCTTTTTAATATTCACATGATAACGAACCTGCAGAAGTTGTGGAAGAACTTCGGTCGAGGCGAATGGGGCCATTTCTCATTGCAAGTCTTGGCGATGACCACAAGCAGTCTTGGAAAGATTCCCAGAGGAAGGTGCGCACTTTTGAAGCGTACAACTAAAGTCCTTGACGTCTTCTGGTCGCTTAGCAGCTCATTAGCTGATTTTGCATCACTGTTCATCAGCATGGAGGGAACGAGGAAAATGTCTGCATCATTGGACCTTTTCCAGCGGCAAAGAAGTGAAAATTTCTCCATTATCATGAGCAAAGAGCTGGCTGTGGTCTCATTCTCCCAAACGTGGTTGATCAGAGCTTGTTCCAATATCCCATCGTTCTCAAGTCGTCTCCATTGTTCTTCGTATTCGTCTTCCCAGTCTTCGGCAGGCAGAACTGTGATGATCTTAACTATCATGTCCATAAGCCACTGCACGTCAATGATAACTATGTTTGTATCTTCAAAGTGAATAATGACTTTCAGGTCATGCAAGTAGTTCAAAACTGTATTGAACTGATCTTCAGTATTAATGGCGATCTGGCACTGTACCGCAACTGCCTTTGCCTCATCCAGTGATATGTATTTCTTGTTTTCATTGGTTGCAAGATCTAACAACTGTTTCTCGAACTGCAGCCAACTAATAGGAACAACTTCATTTACGTATGGAAGGCTTCTTGCAACTTCATAGATGGCTGCCCTTAAGTCATCGATGGATTTTTCCTCGCTTTTTCCTGAAACTGTGTTGTTTATGGCGTAAATTCCACGAACAATGTGGTTTCCTCCAGGAGTGTCGTTGTCTTGCTTTAAATAAGAAAATATCTCTCGAGTCATTTCTACGGCGTCGTTACCTTTACATGGAATGTCTGCATGAGTACAGACGAGAAACACTGGTGGCAACCTTCTTGGGAGCTTTGGCTTTTTGGTTGTGGACTTTTGTTCTGTCATATTAGAGGCTTTTTTTCCTTTTTGTAAGAGTTCTAGGACGTTATCGTCAGTGACTTCTCGATCCGTAGTCCAAAGAGACGCCACAAAGGACAACCAAAACTCCAGATAGTCCATATTTGTCATTGGGCAATGATCATCGACCTTGCGATTTGAGGATCCGTGCTTTACCATTGGTGTTGCTTTAGCATGCATTTCGTTCTTTAGACTGTTTACTAAAACATATATTGCCTTTTTGGGAAGAAAAACTGGATGCGTTGCGTTATATACTGGCTGTCCAGCAAAGTCTAGCGTAACTAAATGAACCCAATCCTGAATTTCCAACTTTTCTGGGTGTTGGAGAATGTTGGTTGCTCTCTCAGAGACTTCTTCAGGAATCGGATTGTCTTTTCTACTTTCTTGGAAAAGTACTGGATCGCTTGATGTGCTTGTCTTTTTATCTACTGATTCGTCTCCAACAGCAATTTCACTGTCATTCTCTATCGTTTTTTCCTCGACACCCAAACTTTTGTTATTTTCTTCGACAAGGCTTCCTACTGTTTCATCTTCTTCTTCGAATGCCGCTTGTCTAAGAGGCTCTTCTTCGACGTCTTCCTCAGTTGATCTCAGTTCAAGTTTAGGGTTATCATCAAAGGATGCTGAAAGGTTTTCAGCAACCGCTCTTGCTGTATAATCAACGAGAGAGCTCTCGAACGTATCGTCCTCATGCCAAACATCTGCTTCTGCTTTAGAGAGGGAGCGATGTAATCTAACGCCTTCGGTACTGTCTTCCTCAGGATTGAAGTCTTCACCTAAAATTAAAAGGAATGCATTTTATTATCAAATTATTTTGGTTTTTCAATATATCTTGTTTAATGATTTATCAAACAAAAAAAAACTTTAGTGAGCTTGCATTATGTAGGATGCTCGCCATACATTTTGTCAGATGATTTTCCTGTCTACACATACAAACCCTCTACCAAGTGGCAAGAAAATCAGTATTCATGTGTCGTTTTAAAACTGAATATGGTTAGAGTAGATATTATATGAAAAGGTATTTTTCAGAAGAACTGTATAAAGTGCATATTTAAGGGAGGTTTGCAGTCCCTTTTAATTAGCACCCCTGGATCCGGCCATAGATTTAAAAAATACTTTAAATAGTACTATTCCGTATTTAAGTGGATTTTCTTACGTCTTAAAGATCTTAAAAGGCTTGTCTTTCCTGCACCGGACTGACCAACTAGTACCACTGGAATACGACAGTATTTCGCTTCGCCACTTTTAAGTGCTAAGTCGTAAGCTTCTTGTGCCTTTGGGCCACGGGCCAGGATCTCTCCAGGCGCTGCAAAAAAAAAAAATCCTATTTTGACAAATGTATACGTTGGAAATATTTATCACATTTCTTTGCTGGCTGAGTCTACTCTTTTGCTTTTTCTTTTGCTGTAGGAGCATTAAAAGAAAAACAAGGATACTCCTCTGCCATCAGCAAGGAAGGTATTTGATATAGACTTTAGATTTAGAAAAAAAAAAAACAATTGTTCTTTGTCTGACTTACTTGTATCTGGAACTTTAAGGGTCCTAGAAACATTTTATATGAAGATACAAAGGCAAAGCGTTAAAATAAGATTGATTTTATTAATAATTAGAACGAAAAGCTTCTGGGTAAAGAATTAGAGGCCAACCTTGCTAAAATGCTAGCACATCTCATGAATTGAGGAATCTTGTCAACTATCTTTTGTGGAGTCCATGATCCATCTTCAAGCATTCTATCCCATTCATCATGTTGAAGATGAATGTCCACCTGATTTGAAACAGTTTTAAAAAGGTCTCGATCAGTAAATTTCGAGTAACCCCCCATTCTGAAAATCATACTTTAGTGAAGCATGGGCAAATAAAAACGGTTGGCCAATTTTGCGTAGGTCACCGCGGTATCTTGATGCGCCTGAGCCCTGATTCCTTTCCCTAGCTTAGATTTCCCTCAAGGATGCTAAGTAGGAATAATTGTCAGATTTTTAAAAACGAATAACGTCCCAAAAAGTTTAATGCAAAAAAAATTAAAAATCATACCGTAGTTTTAGAGGTGGAGGTGGGTTTATTTTCAATGTGTTCATAAGACAGTTTAACGGTAAATTGCTCGTCATCTTTAGATGTGAATGGATATGTTCGTCTTTCAGAAACACGGATGTAGCAAAGATCAAAATCAGTTGGCGGGTTTTCTTGAAATAATTCAAGACCATGATTTGGTTTAACTTTCATGTTGTCACGGATAAAGTTAAAAAGAGCGTCTACTTCTTTGTCTTCAACCTGTTCTTGAAATTTTGAACCTGTTGACAAAAAAAGTATATATATCTTGTGAGAATTCCACTCCACTTCATTGATTTACGCTCTTTTCTTCTCTTCTCTTTTCCTCTCCTCTCCTCTCCTCTTCTTTTCCAATGTTCACAATACCCTGAATCGTTTACCTGAATCGATGATAAAACGAAAGTCCAGTTCCTCTGCAGGCTGGAATACGTCCACAATAGCTCTTTTCACAGTAGATCCACATAGATAGAAATATGGTTCGGTATCAGAGCTTTTGATCACATTGGCAAGTGGTTCACTTTTTGGGATATTTCTATAGGTCACTGCATTAGTTGTGGCATCAATTGCTAGAAATATCTGAAAGTGTGGAATACAAAAATGAATATATAACTAACTGGCTAACCTCTGGCTTATCAAACAT